AGAATAGCATACAAGAAACCAAAAGAATGGGCAAAAAGAAAATTAAACAACAAATGCCAGATAATAAAAAAAAAATAAAAGATACATTAAGCACATTTATTGACAAATGTGATCAAGATGTCATTCCAGAGACTGTAAGACAAGAAATCTTGTTGACTTGTACAAAAACAGTAATGTGACTAAAATACCACCCTATACTGTGTACCTTACAAAGAATTAAACATATCATGTGCATCGACTTTGAAAGCCAACCTATATTGTGCACCTTAAAGATGTAACACTTTCACAGAAACTGCCGCAAGAAAAGGTTTAGATGATCAATGATTGTTTTCATCAAGTAAAAGCAACATGTAGTGAAAAAGTTACAAGTGGTAGGTCTTATAATTACCACAAGTAAGTCATACAGAAAATAAAAAATCAGCCTAATTTTGATAAACAAGTTCCAACAAGCTTCAAACTTGCTTTGACCAATAAGAAAAAACAGATATGTCAAAGGTTTTCACAGAAAGACAAACACAACAATTTTCCACATAAGACACAACTGGTAAACAATCACATAACATTGTGCACATCTCAAAGCAAATTTTGAATTTTACAAACACAGCAAGAATCTTGAGTCAGCGGATGTTAACGACTTAGCTACCAATAAAAAATCAGAATGGAGGTACGAATCTGGAGAGTTAGCCAGGGGGTGTTAACAACATAAGCTACTAATCAATTGCATCACCAAAAGATTATGTCCATATGTTCACAAAAACACAGCCTCAACAATTACAGAAAACTATCTGTGATATATTGCATACCTAACTTGTAAGATCGATTAAGAAGATCATCAAAAACTCTTCATGTCTGACCGAAAATGAAAAGTAACTAAGAGGAACATCTCTCAGAGAATGCCTTCTTCAAGATATAAGGAGGCCTTCTAAGAAAGGTTGAACTGCAGGTTAGGATGAAAAAAACGTTTTACTTATATTGTCCAGAAAAAATTAACTTTATAAAGGCAAATTTTTTTTAAAAAAAGAAGTATATAACACACGGCACTTGACTTTTACCATAGACACCTTTAGAGTGAAATGTCAAGAAGAAGTGTTCATACAAGCATATTCCATGTCATGCCAAAACTTACACAACCCATGAATCAGTGGCGACGCTGATTTTGTGCCACAACCATGACACATCTGTTGTAAAAGAGAAACAAGCCTTAACAAAGTTTGCACTTTGCTTCTTGGTTATAATACTAAAAACACAATCTGCCTGTTCAAGACAAGTTATGACATGTTGACTTGAACCAAAACCCAAAACTTGGTTTAACAGATAAATATGACACATTACACAAATCAATCTCCATTCGTAGAAAAAGAAAATATGATTACAATTGTCAGAAATTTTGGTCAAAGAAATCAAACAAATGCATAATGAAGATGAGTAGCATAATAATTACCTCTTGAAAGACAGCACCACTATCAGCCTTTTGTGCATCTGGCTCAGACTTGGGTGCAGCTAAGGCACTGGTGGCATCATCTTCCTCCTCACAAAGTTGTAACAGCCTATAAATGTCTGACGAGAATGAACCAAGACTCCCACCCTGCAGATATTATATCGACATCAGAGGGACACTCAAAAATTCCTATCAAAATAAAACGATGCATTGCTACACATGCACCTGTACATTCAGCTGCATCTTAGGAATTGCAAAAAGAAGCACATAACACTGAATCACCATAGTGCATATTTTTTCACAACTATCAGCACATGCTCACCACCACATTCCTACATAGCAATCTACTTAGAAAACTCATCATCAAAGTCTTCTTAGACATACTCACATCTGAGATATAAATAGTACATAAGTCAACATATCTAGATCCACTTTAACACATACAATTACAAGTTTTATGCTCCAGAATACAGCCCACAGCAATAAGAACAGAAACTAGAATGCACATCTATATTGCAGTCTTACGTCTGAACTCTACTACTGTTGTGCAAAGTTCATAGAATAACACAACAACTGACATTTAAAGGCAGTGTCAAATCAGCTTCTGTGTAAGTACATCTATTGCACGCAATCAGCGGAGGCTTTACCTGCAAAGAAGAAGCAGGGGAGGGCTCATTGAGCTCAGCTTTCCACTCACGGAGCATCTGATGGACCTGCTCTTCAAGAACTGCAGCATCAATGCTACGGCTCTCCTTTCTTGCAGACTGCAGATCCGAAAACATCCCTTGAAGATCATCGACACGGTTTTTTGCCCTGTCCTTGAAGAGCTGATGCGATGCAGACTTGCATGCACCACTCTTCGAACCCTTGCCCATTCCAAGTAATCAATATATAGCACTTGGTATCTCAACTATCACCTTCAAAACCACCCAAAAGAACTATGTCAGAACAACTATAAAGATACAACCGAGCTGCAATGCGCTCCTAAAACCCTTAAAACACCACCACTGGACTCAGAATTCATCAAGGAAAAATAAAACTTGCAAGCTTTTACAGATTACACAAACCTAAAATAGTATAGTAATCATGGTAAAATTAAACAAAAACTTTTTCAATATTCTCCCAAATTACCCACAAAGCTGAAAACCAACAAAAACCCGCAATCTTTACAGTTGAATTTCACAGTCCAAATAAAGAAACCCATGATTGAGACTAATATCCACTAATCTTTGTACTAAAAAAAAAAAAAATTAAACCCAAAAAAAAAATGCAACATATCACACATCTAACAAAAGCCACAACAACGAAACCCACAAAGGGGAAGAGGTTTATGAACTGCAATTCGCACAAAAATAAACCTAAATTAACTTCCAATCGCGGTCGTCAGATGAAAAATCAGGAGGAGTTGCTACAAAAATAGATAAGAAAAAAAAGAGGGGATCAAGACAAGGAAAAAAGAGTGAAAGTCCTGTGAATAAGAATTATTACCAAGAACAGATAAACCAAAAAAGCAGGAAAAAAAAAAAAAAGAGAGAAAGAGGGATGGAGAATGGGGTGCTTTTTAAAACCTGCTTTGAAGAGAAGATCGCTGTGAAAGTATTCAGACAATACAGAATTGGGGGTTCCTTTTGCGCGACTTCGAAATAAATATGTGCGGAAGTCTATGTATGTGGGTTTTCTTTATATGCTTCTCAGTTATGGTATAGACTTAACCGGTCACTTTGCAGGGCCCACCCCACCGGAAAAGCACGTGGCAGTCGAGGGAAATTACCAAATATTAATATTTTTTTTGTGCATTTTACTTTCTGTTGACTTGTAGTTGTGACTCACGACTTGTGAGCTTAATTTGAGGGAAAAATTTTTGCATATCAACTTAGGCGTAGAAGGAATCTATACGAAACTGAATGCCAAATTTAAAATTAAGTTACTTGTCATGTATCATGTATCTACGCTCGCTCACTCGTGTATACATTAACAGTTATTAAAATATTTTTCAAAATTTTATGCATTATCGATGCAAGAAAAGTTTTAAATTAGCTTTTTTTTTTTGGGGTAAAATTTAAATTAGATCGTTAAGATATTTATTGAGTAAGTACTTGTTAAACGATGGCATGAGCCATAAATGCACGAATATCTAAAATCCCTTATGCAATAAGTTTTTTTTTTTATATATATATACGTTAGACTATCTAACGTGTTTTATCTTACAAGAAAATGTTAATATTTATGCAATAAATTTTTTAGTCAATAAAAGGGTTTTGCTTTCCGATGTTAATATTTTAAACGTGCCCTGCAACAGAATAAATTAGTTGTCTGGTGCATCTCATTCTAAAGAGTTAGTAGTGTTTAATTTTGCTCCTTGTTTTAGTTGGCAAGGTGTTGTTTCGTTCATTCAATCCCAAATTATTATTAAAATTCTTATAGAATCAAGCCAAGTATACCAAACGAAAGGCAATTTCAATTAACATTCCAAGGTGTTAATAACTTTGAATAAATTGGTATTTTCTTACAAAACTATCAAATATTTCTTGCAACACGTTCCCTTTTAACATAAGTAGTTTTTTGTCACCTAATAGCAGAATTCTATGCTTTGAGTTATTATTCGTTAGTCACTGACGTATTTTATTTAGCAAAAGGAAGAAAATCAACTTCAACATTCCTCTCATCAATTCTTATTCGGAAATTTCCTATTTAACAGAGATGCTACAAAGATAGTGACTAAACATCTTACCTCTTGTACTATTTTTTTTTTTTTTAAAAAAAAGAAAGAACATCAATCCTCCACTAACACGGCGATAATGTAAAATTGCCAGCACCAAATTACAAGTTATATATATATATATATATATACACACGCACGCGCACACACGCACACAAGCCATATGGTCGAATTACAATAATATTAGACTAAGCTCACAAGTATGAGATTTGAATCCAAAACTTTTTTAACTCTTGAGGTTATTTCCCAACCGAACATTAACATTTTGGCAAACAACTGCTCCTTTAAACAAAGGTAGCCGCATTAAACTAAAAAAATGATTCTCTTGGAAAATTCTCTGTATGCCCAACCACTGCTAGAGATGTGGTCCGGATGGACGCAATGCGTTGCAGATCCTAACCAGGCCTGGATGTTGAGGAAGATGGTAGGTCCGCCCTTTGAAAAGCCTTTTTATTAGATGTGAAAAGAGAAGACGACCCGGGCAAGAAAGGCATAAAGGGCAGAACCCACTACCATCTTCTAAGATTCCTGATTGCTAGTCCTTGATGCCATGAGCAATTAGATATGCATTGTGTGATGCCTTTTGAAGATAAGAAGCATCTGTGGTTTCTGGACTCGTTTCTCCTGCTGCTAAATGCGAGGCTTTTCATAAAATAAAATGCAACAAGAAAATTCTGTACCCACCATTTTATTTAGCATCACTATGACGGCGAGTAAAGAAAAAGAGCACCAAGGAAAAAAGTAGTCAATTTTCAGCAGCTACGCAATATGGAGATGCATATTTAGGATCCACTATGAAGAATTGATAATCAAAAGCAGACAAAACGGAGACCAAGAAGAGTATTTGGAGCCAAGTTCAGAAATTTTATAATTAGGGTCTCTCTTCTCCTTTCCTGACTGCCTGACAATATCTCTTTATCACTGCTGCAGATCCTTATCAGCTGCAATGATGAATTCCTTGTTTAATACTCAATACAGATCAGTCCTCTGTTTCAGCGAGTGTATTTACAAATGAAACAAGTAATCAGCAAAACTGTATGCTCGGGAGCCAATGAAGGTCAAAAGTCTAAACTGAGCAGGCCCAATTATCGTTATGAATCAGAAATAAATGCATTATTCAATATCAGATTAACATGAAGAAATCAATTTGCTGCCGCCGACTTGCTTTCCTCTCCATGAGCATGTCTAAAGCCAAAAACACCAGAAAGTCCACGTTTCTGGGCTAGCTGGTCAAGCTCCTGCAACTTACTCTTAAGAAGCTCTACCTCTCTTGCCAACTCATCGTCTCGTTGCCTCAGTACCTGAAAACCATGACAGACCCAAAAGCTCAGTACATTTTGAGAAGCTTGAACAATGGCTTTGAGTTTTGTTTATGGTAACTACTCAAAGCACAGGCCACACGGTGTAAGACAAAGATAGCATCTAATAGCCCTTAATCTTCATAATTAATGTTGGCAAAAGGAAGCATGCTTTGTTTCCTCTAAAGCATCCAGATTTAACTAAAACCATATAGATACAACTAGAATTATATTCTCCGCAATGAAGAGGATTTAAGCCGCTGAAATTCTGAAAAATGACATGCCTACTTAACTATCAAGCCCAGAACATCAGTTTATGCATATATAGCTACCACGTTATTGCCATACATTAAGTGAATGTCAAGCTGGCAGTAACAATCACAATCCTGCAGCATATATGTATACTCGCCTAATTGAATAAACCAATTATTTTAGCAATCCAGAAGATGCTTTGAAGCCAAAACAGGATAAAGGTGTTCGTAAAAAGAATAGAAAATAAGGAAAGTAGAACTCTAACTCAGGAGCTCCTAAGAATGAAAAATATGCCCGTGCTTTTGATCGAGATGAATGTGTAACTCAAAAGGGCTTGCAATTTTGTGCTCAGATAGCATAGCAAAATAGGTCACCTATAGATAAGGGATGAGACACAACGGAAGCTATCATCTAACATCCCAAGTCATGGAACCAAATATTTTAGCGCTACACAAACTAATTTGGCTGGGAAATGCACTTTACATAATCCCCAGAACTTCATGCATCAGCAATTGTGGATGCAGGCATACTAGCAATACAAGGGAAAGATGTTCTGAGCAATGCATTAACATGTTATTCAAGTTCTGGAAAAATAAACTACCGAAAGAAAGTACTTAGATAGTTAGATGCTACTCATCACAAAACTTGAATGCCAAAAAAGGGATGGGGGGAAGCAAAGAATTCTTTAACATTATATACCTCCATTTCCTGCCTACGAAGCTCCTCCTTCTTAGCTTCTGACCGAGCACTTCTTTGCACCTCAAATATCAGAGCAGCTACAGCAACCTAATCATGATTAGGCATATAAGGGGTAAAATGCCCATCAAAGTAGGGTTATTATTTTCTTTCTAAAACGTATATAACATTTTCCAACAAATCTATCCTTCCATGCATCAGGATATGCACGAAAAGAAGATTCTTTTCACTCGTAATAAGTAATAACCCTACGCAGGACAAAATCTCAGACCATTGACAGCTGCTGTATCATGTCTACTTGAAAGAGCAAACTAGAGCATGACAAAGGTGGTCAATCAATAAATCAAGAAAATGGAGGGATAATACCAATCCTCGCACTTTGCCACAACAAAAAGAGGTACTCAGTCCATTATCTCATAAGGAGGCAAGATACAGCAAATCTGGAATCTATTATCTCATTCTCTCCCTACCACTAATGAAATGAAAAAAACTCGCAGAAGAACAAAGGGTGGACCAGGGCCTTTGCAGATATTTTCCTGGCTATCCAATGAATATGCAATAAGTTGCAAATGACGAGAACCTGGGACTTCACGTAACTTCTGAGCCGAGGAGCAAAAATACAAAATGAGATTTTGATATCAATTGGCATGAATTGTGATTCATGCTAAGTGGGAAGAATGCAAAACATGGAAAGAAATATTGGCTTTATATTCTAGCAAGATAAGAAATCAGGAAATTTTTCAATATTGATTTAGTTAATACTGAATACATTTAAAGAACAGTAAAGTTTTGAAGAAGGCATGTTTCCTGGGCCTCATACTGCCTCCTAAGTGACAAGAACACTTTGGTGCAACATTAACATGAAGGGTAAGAATAGTGTGGCAAAATCAAAGATAGGATCAAACTCTTCTACTCCTTAACAAGTGGGGAAAAAAATTTTTCCTTCACTAATATGAGCAATCTTATACAAGCTATTCCAGCAGCAAAATAATATTGAAGTTAGATACAACCTACCGAGAAGACAAAAACTTCCCCCAGAAGGTCTACAGCCGCTTGAACAGCTTTCTCCTCATTCAAAGGTCGAATTTCAACATCAGTTGCATGACCATATATGCGTCTTTGCATTTGTGTTGTTATCCTATGGTTTCCCTGCATTCAAAAATTAATGTGAGTAGAAAAAGAAAACAAAGTTCTACAATTGCTGAAGCAGAGGCGAAGAACGAGAAAGCTGAGAATCTGAAATTAATGAAGAATGCACCAGAACCAAACATAAAGACAACTTTTTCTTTTGGGGGGTGGGAGGTTGGGAAGAAGAATTGATCAGCATGTGCATTTGAAAGCCTTACCTGAATTTATCGAGACCTACACAAAAGCCAAAGATATTATCACACAATTCTAGAAGAACATACCGGCTTACACATCTGAAAACCTTGCCTAATTCAGTCAAGAACTATACAAGCAAAGCAGTGATGAAAAAGAACCAAAGATGACTGATTCAAGGTGCCCAAGAAAAAGAACGAGGAAAGAAATTTAGTTGTTGTCAAATAACTATCAAAATTCTGCAGCAAAGATTGCAAATTTCTTAGCCAAGGTTAAGTGAAAGCATAAAATTGCAAGAAAATCTTTCAAATGCTACGGCTGTCATTTAAGCAAGATGTAACTTGTGAGCAAACATATCAAGTTGTACTCATTTCTCACCCGGAAATTGAATTGCTTGATCCATGATTGCATAATAGTCTACGCTATCTTGATTTCCCTATTACAAATTTACAATAAATCATCAATGTAAGTCTTCAAGCTTGTTATTGGCAGTATTTTACATTTCTGCATTTCCGATTTGTCACTAGCAAAGTTCAAAAAATGAATATAAGCCCTCCTGCAATTCTAAAACTTAAATTAATCTAGACCAGAAAAGAAACAACAAAGGCGAAGACTTTTGTGCTATCTTTCTGTCCCAATCTGCATCTTCCTCAATTTCCTATGATCGAATATATGCAATAGATAACATTTCAAAAATTTTAAAATCCACCTTGTATTCCAATCTCTCCTTTAAATCGCACGTATCAATAATATCCATATTTGGGTTCATAAACACCGGGTTCTTGAACAAACGCATAAAAACCCGAATAACTTCTCAAAAAATGGTAAAGTAATGAAGTTACCTGGGCGATGCCGACGATGAAATTACGGAACTTGGGATGCCTTCCGGCCTGAACCTTGAGTCTACTAGCTATAGGTTTGCTCAGAGTTTTTACAGCAAGCGTCCCTAGCTTCAACAAGGGCAATACCATTACTGGTAATTTGTATCACAACCCAATTTCAGATACAACCTCTTGAATTCTTGGACACAGTGAAAAATTTATAAGCAGAAAATGTAAATATAGTACCCTATTGATTCGTGACCAAAATGGGCGTTGATCAAGTAAGATATAGAGCTCAATTTCTTGGTGAAGAAGACAAACGCGAGCAGCAAATCGAAGGTCAGTGGAAGCAAGAAAGAAGGAGAACTTTCAACTGAATATTCAATTAATGGCTTTTCAGTTTTTTTTTTTTTTTTTGGCATTTCTTTTTTCGCTATGTGCGTGTCTGCTCGTGTGCGTATGTTCCGATTCGTTGGGGGATTGGCTGACTTCTCGCCGATTGATGGGCCGGGTCGAGCCCAATGTTGGATTACTAAAAATGGGGCCTAATGAAGCTGTTTTATTGGCAATGGGGCCGGGAGTTTATGTTGGGATTAAGTCACAAATTAAAGTCCCTCAAGGAGTTTATGGGGACACAAACAAGCCCGATGCGTCGGTCCTTTTTTTTTTTTATTTTACATTTTTTTATAGAATTTAAAGTTAGTTTGATTTCTATTATCTAGGGAGCTTGAGATGGTTTGCCTGATTTTAAATCTTTATCTTTACTACTTCGAGTTTGATGGATTTTTGCTTGATGGAATTAGAGTACAATGATCTACCTCTCTTTGATTTGATTAATCGAGATACCATTCTAAATGACCTGCAATTAATTTAGTTCGAATTGACATAGAATAGTTTGATTTGTATTTTAATGCTACGGTGAATACCAATGCGAATTCAATTTGGAACTAGTTGATATTCATTGCATAATTTGTGTTAAAAGCACACTGTTTGTGTTCGTAATTTCATAACTCCATCAATTTTTGTTTTTCATTAGACAAGATGTGGGAATTGAGAAGGGGGGAAAGGGCAAGGTGATAAAAATCTGCGGGTATCCGATTTGTCCAGCATATTTTTTATTTTTTATTTTTATTTATATATGCAAAATATTATTTTTAAAGCAAATGAAGTATTTTTTTTTTGAGCAAATTACGCTCCAAATATGAGCGCATATAATTTGTTTACAAGATTCATTTTATAGAGGTCATGATCTTATTTTTTAAGAATAATTTAATTGATGCAGAATGAATATAATATATATATATATATATATATATATATAATGGGCAATGCTTATAACAATTTTTATTAGTTTTGGATTCTTTTTTTCTTTTTCTTGTATTTTCTTGCAAGTTTGTTCTTGATATGAGATTTTTTGAGTAAAATCTATATTGAATCTTAGATGAATATGTAAAATATAAAACTAAATTATTATAAATCATTTTTTAAAAAATTTAAATGATGAGAGAGGTACGGCAGGTACCCGCTAATCCGACCCTCTTCTAGTCGGCACCTAATGATCAGGTACCTATTGATATATGGAACGAATAAGAATTAAAAAATGGTTGGCCGCTAAGATATGGGTCAAATTAGCCAAATGCCCCACGAAATGGGTTCCCCGTACTCCCTAGTATATATATATATATATATATATATATATATATATATATATATATATTTTTTTTTTTTGGTAAATAGAAATAATATTTCGTCAAAAAGTGGCTCATATTTTATAATTACACTAGTATTAATACATTTGATGTGTGTGCAAAGCTAACAAGAGAAATTTGACTCAAAGAAAAAACAAAAATTGGAGTCATTAAGTTGTCATCTAATACTAGCATATGATTGAGGTTATCTCGGCGAATACACTGGAATTCTTACACCAAATTTACAGGTTTAGTATAAGACTAGGTGTTGGACCCCGCGGGTGTCGCGGGGTGCCCATATTATCTTGTTGTTGAGTGTTAACTGATGATTTTTTTGTAAAGAAGATGTTTGTGTAAGAGATGGATTATAAACAGGAAAGTCGAAACCATGCATTTTTTATATATACATGATCATTGGGAATTGCAGCTTAATACAAAAGTTAGTTGTTATTTGTACAGAACAAAATTCTAGAAAGCTGCTGTGATTCGTAAACAAAAAGTACAATTTTTTGTTTTACATCCAACTGGAATGTAAATTATCTAGTTTAGTTTTTGATGCTTTGTGCTTTCAGAGAAATCTGCCTCAAGATTGCGCTTGATGGAGGATGAGGTCTCTAGCAGCTTTGGAGTTGGCAAGATTATCTTGCACGATCACGACGGCTTTTTTCTAAACGATATTCATCTTCTGAGGAAATTTACGTTTCCGACCCATATGCAATTGTAGCTAAAATTAAGAAAATTCTGTTATCCATGACATTCAACAATAACAATCACAAATCATCTAAAGTTTCTTGAAGCAGACAAAACAAGCGTGAATGAAAGAGATGATTTCCATTTAATAAGCAAAACGATAACAAACATAGAAGATAAAACACAACGAAGTAGAACAGACTAAGCACTAAGCAGATGAGGAACAAATAAGTAAAGGAGAGATTGCTTTACCTGAACAATAAGCTTCGAATAGGATGGTTGAGCTGAGCTGCATGGAATAAACCGATAAGATCACAGAAAAGATAAATATAACATGGAAGTAGCTAACATAAGAAAAGTCAGAGTCCATGCAAACTAAAAGCTTGCAACAAAGAGATGGAAATGATGGGGAAAAGAAAATGATAAAAGCATAACTTGAAGCATACGAAACAAAAATAAGCAAACACAGTGAAAGAGCAAAAAGTTCACCGAACGAACAATGTAATAAACAGCTATATTAGGCGCAAAAGTGGAGAAATACAGTAAAGGAAAATAGGCAGCACCTGATTGAAGTGAGCCAGAAGGAGGAAACTGGAAACAAAAATCACCAAAAGCTGGCACAAGATGGAGGCTTAATAGAAAGACGCCGGACAAAAGAGAAAGTCTAAGCAAAGAAACTGACGGTGGAAAAGCTAATGTAAATATAGCACATAGAGTGCTTAACTATATAAAGAGCCTGTGCTTTGGTAAAAGCAAGCACATGCATGCATTAAATCTACGTAATGATTGCAAGTCCACTATGATAAAAGAATCAAACGAAGCAAGCATATCTATAATCACCGAACGAACCAAATATAGCTGTAATGCGTAAGCTGTAAGCACGTAAGATGAAATTTGACCCAGTGCAATCTGCAAGGTGTAATCTGTAAGCATGCAACACGTAAGGCAAAATTTGACAGAGTCAAAGGAGAATTGCGCCACGTAATATGAAAGTAACAGAAAAGAACCACGTAAGATCTGATGAGTAGCTTTAATTTAATAATCGAGCGAGTTTAATTTAATGGATTTAATAAGGTAGACAACTAATTATCATTTTGTATTAAGCACATATATGTTATGACATTCAATCTTATAGCTAACAATAGCTAACAAATTTTATCAATCTTATCTAAATCTCATCTCAAAACACCATAGCTTTAATTTAATAATTGCGTAGTTCAAATTTAATAATCGAGAGAGGTTGAGCACATTTATGCTATGCTACTCAATCTAAAAACACAATAGCTTTAATTTAATAATTGAGTAATTTTAATTTAATAATCAAGAGAGGTTGATGTAATGGAACAAAGCGACGCAATAGCTTTAATTTAATAATGAAGAGGGCTTGATTTAATCGAACAAAGCAGGGAGCAAGGGTGATTTAATAGAACAAAGCCGGACAATTGATTTATAACTTGTAACTGGAGCTTCACACCTTCACGGGCACAGATTGAGAGCAGAGGACGTTGACGGCTACATATTGGACCACAGGACAAAGAAGCACAAATCGAACAGCCAAATCATGATTTTTAATATAATTTTTGTAATGTAGTATGGATTTGTCATATTTTGTATTATTTTGAATGATTATGATTTTGATATGTTTTTCTATTGGTAGAGTAAGTAATTGTTTTGCAATTTTTTGGTATTTTTTTTGTTTACGGTATATTTATGTTTTGTCTAATTATGATTTGATTATTGGTTCTAATTAATTTTATGATAGCAAAAGTTGCGAGAAACTTGTAAAGAGTAATTTGGCAGGCAAAGTTGGTGATTTGTTTGCCTATCATAATTTTTTTTTTTTTTTTATATATCGACGGATATAGTAGCTATGGATGGATACAGTCGCATTTTTTTTGTTTCTGAAATCCAAACACAATGAACCAACATAATACGGCAGACCATAAAAGATTTCACAAAAACTGTGAGAGGTCCAAGAAATCTGGGCAGGCATGTGCAGCAGGCAACGGGCCAACCAGTACTTGCAATAAAAAGACGGAAAAGGCCAAAATCTGCCGAGAAACAACAACGAAACCAGTGTAAAAGGGTCAAATTGGAATCAGGCGACCAAAATTTAGAACCTGTGGGCGACAAGCATGAAACAGAGATGACCCCACAATGCCTTCCATCACACCTACAAAGACAAATGAAGACAAAATCAACGCTCAAATTACAAAATAACCAGCGGAATCACTGTAGCAAAGCCTTCCGCGCCTTATGTAGTTAGAGATATGGCTGGTGGTATCGTCCGAGAATAATTTTTCAGTTGGAGCAATATCTCTCAAGCTGCCAAAACTACCTCTGCAAAGGTCAACGAATATCCAACCATTTATAATGAGTCAAAACTCACTCTTCCATCGTCCATCGTCCATCTCCATCTCCATCTCAATCTCTCTCTGTTTCTTCCATATCCGGGAATGCTTCCTTCCTCCAGCATCCCGCCATTTCTTTCTTGTTTTCTTCTTCGGTCTTCAACCCGCCATTAGTAAACCATTTTACTAACTCCTGGATCTGGTTTCGTCATGCTCTACTTCTTTTGTCCCTCAAATCTGCTCTCTAAATCAAACATTATGGCAAAACCACACCATGCCTCACGTAAGCCGCGCATCGTTGTCCATAATCCCCATTTTTATTCGTCTTTCTCCATCGAGTTTGATATCGGTAATGCGTATATCGTTATACTAGGGGGTGTTTGGTGCCCACAATTAGAAAGAATTTTTCATTAGACAAATAATAGTACGTTCTGCAAAGAAATAGTCATCAAATATGACAAAACTAATAATAGTAGTATATTATATTACCGCATACACTTGTACACTTTGTTTTATCAATACTTTTACAATTTTACCATTTTCAAAAGTTTAAATTTTTCCCAAGTTCTTGAGTCCAAGATTAAGCTTATAAACCCCAGATTCTTTATTACTTTTCATACAATCAACTTTTTGGTGTATCATGTACTTATGCATAATTCTTCATTTTTTTATTGAAAAATTGTAAAATTTATGCAAAGATGATGGCGTATCTTTTGTACTGAATTCAAAGGGCAATGATACATATATCATAATTTATTCAGATGTCGTTCATGTAAGATTAATAAGATGATTACGGCTAAATGATATAACGTAGGCAAAGAAGATTTAAATTGGCATGAATATAAAATTTTTTGAATATACGTAATTTGCTTAGTTCATATTTTTTTTTAAATCAAACTTGTAAGTATTCCTTAAATCGTAAATTATTCGTAGTTATAACATTATGTATTATGACTATTTGTATTTTATAGACTAAGAAATAGCCAAAATAATCATTTAACTGGATTTGTTTGGATTGAGATGATTTCAAATAAAATAATCTGATTCATAAATTCCAATCACCTCTTTATCTCACATATATCACATCACAAAAAGTCTCACAGTAATTATCTCAAATAAATCATCCAAATAAACTCCTATCCAAAAATAAAATTGATAAAATCATATTTGTTGGAGAAAAATGTGTTCTTGTCAATGGTTAATGCTTTTCATCTAGAAGAATAGTTTGCCACGTTCTTGATGTGGGAATGGATAAACGCCTTTTTTCAAGCTGGGGGATTTATCATTTATGTGTGTCGTCACTCCATTTGCCGTGAGTCAAAATGCATTTTGGCTATAATGTATCCAAGCCTATGCAACCCCCGCCTAGTCAAGCCAGCCTTGGCAAGTTTACGGCTGCAGATCCCAAGAATGGTCAAATCAACCGCTTTGTGGTACTGGGCAACGGTAAAATTAGTAAATTACTTGCTTGTTAATCTCATCTAATATCTGTGATTGACCACAAATTTCGGTAGTCGCCAAAATTTGACGGGAGTGTAACAAGTGTTGTGTGGAAATTAGTTAAACAAACAGAGCGAACGTCCTCATATATAGGCCCCTAGCTTTGAAGAATCACAAATTTTAGTCCATTTTCTTGTTCATTTTGTTAAATTAGAATTTCCTAATTTCAATTTCAATTCGGTATTGTGCCCCCCCAACCCCCATGGGCCTTGCAAAAGATTCATTCTGATGTAAATTTGTGAAGGCAGGTGTTTTGCCACAACCCTTTGGGCATTTTCCCGAATAAGTTTTTGCTTCAGCTAGATCGATCAAGACGAGCCAATAATTATTGATTCCATCTTGTTCCTGATTCATCCTCACTTGATCATATTGTTAAGGTTTGATAGATATGGCTGGCATCGTTTACCTGAGGACCAATAAGTTTGAAGTTAAGCTGGAGGGCATTACCTTCAAAGCAAAAGACTTTGAAACAATGTGCTCCATGGATTTTCTTTTCCCTGATGGAAAGACCTGGGCCCGTCCGCCCGTGGTCGGCATCGATGTAATGCGCCACCCTCGCGATCCCAACAATATTCTCATGCTCCTGTGCTTTGGTGTAGGCTGCGTTATCCTCAAGTTTATTTCAGGGGATGTATTACCAGAATCAATCTACAGATTTCTCACAGACGAGAGAATTCGCTTCGTCGGGTTCGGAATTCCTGAGAAGAAAGATCTTTTCCCCCTTGAAGAATTGGGGTTGACAAAGCATCAGGTTGACATCGGTTACCTGGCTGCCAAGATTCTTGATGACCCGAAATAAAGAAAGTATGAATTGGCGGAGCTGGCGCGCAGAGTTCTTAGGGTCAAGACCATGATTGGCCTTACACAGTCGTCGTCTTTCGAGAGGCATGAACAAATCAAATGCGCAATTTGCCAGCTTTTCATAACCAGCGCCATTGCTATGGCATTGCTGGGTAAAAGTGAGAAGAAAAAGCCAGTCGATGCTTCAAAGAAAAGCTCATCGTTTCTGAAGAATCTGAATCAACTGCCTTTGTTTACGGAAGGGTGGTTCAAACTTCCAAAATACAAGAAAGTAGTACGCGATAAGAATAAAGTCGAGGAAAATAAAGTCCGTGACAAAGTTCCCCTTCCGACCGCTACCCTTGTGGATGATGGTTTCTCTGGATATGAGATTTTTGGTGATGCCGAAGGTGATTATTGTGCTTTTGGTGATGATCCATTTCATGGCAAATCCGTTCATATTCCTTACGGCGATGATGACGACGACGACGATCATGATGCTAATGGGCATCCTTTTCATGCCAAGGGAAGCCAAGGTTTTTTCGGTGATGCTTTCAGCTGTCTGAAACATAAAGATGGTAGTCCAGGTGATAATCACAGCAAAGAGGCGTTCGGTACAGAAAGAAAACCCTTGAAGGGAATCTTGAAGTCTTCATCGAGTGCAAGATTTGAAGTTTCTAATCATGGTTCTTCTAGACCTGATTCTGGACCTGATTCCTCCGAATCAAGTTCCCAGGAAGTTTTCATCGTCAAAAGGACACTGAAAAGAGCCAATTCAAAGGGGTACAACGTTCAGTTCAAATAACAGAGGTTGTCGCTTCTAACATCTAATCATGACCGCATTTTTTCTGGTTTTTTCTACATACGCATTCAAAAAGAGTCTGGTTTCGCCAACCTAGTTCAGGTCTTCTAGATAGCGTCTAAACTAGGAGTCATGTTTGTTTTGCTTCTTTTGTGAAGTAGGTTGGAGTTGTACATACAGTTATTTTGTAAAATGTGCAGAAAGATGTCCTCTTGTTGATTTGTTACTCTCTAGAATTAAGAATCTCTTAGGAATCAATCCTTGTAATGGTATTGAGGTCTGTAAGACTTTCTGGTCCTCAGTAATTAATTGTAGCATCACAGTCTTTTGATTTTTACTCTGCTATTGACCTTTTCCAAATGGAAGCTAATAATGAGAGATGGTTTCTATATACGTAACCATATCTATTATCTACAAGAATCACAGAAATTGTTCATGGAAACAAACAGCTTTCGTTGATTCCTGAATTTCAGATAAAATGGGGCGCTGCTGAAGTATTAAAATCACTTCAATGCTGCGTTTTTTAGCGAAATTCACCAATCCAAAATATTGAGCAAGACAGACAAATCAGCATGCAGGTCGGACCATACATTATTGTTAAAGTTCTAGAATGCTATTGCTTCAAGAAACTTGACTACTTTCTCTTGAGGTAAATTCAGTGCTTAGGGTCTGTGAATATGAAAAAAAGAAAAAAAAAATGTTCTTGCCTGCTTTTATATGACCTTAGTACTAGTCTTTTGAATTGGATTGTGTAAGTTTTTAATATTTTAGAAGCAGCAGAAGAAGGTGCAGAAAACTTCAAGCAGAAGCATTCATGGAATGCAATAAATAAGCAATAGGAACTTAATTCGGGCTTTTCTCTGGCATCAGTCGACAAATAAGTACAGTAACCGTAAAGAGATAAAAAAAATGGGGTCTAACTGGAAAATGCCTTGCAACATTTTCAGAGGCTCCTAATGACTAGTTTTAAACCCCCGAAAAAGGCTCCTAACGAAGAGGTTTCCCTTACGTTACTGGTTGACGATGACCGGTTCAAGTTGAAGGAAGACGGGTATCCTTCCAAGTAATAAAAAAGGCATATTAGAAGTATGCATAATTTTGACCAAAAAAAAAAAAAGAAGAAGTATGCATAATCAGAAGTATTTTGAAGGAAAATTTCCCTGCAGCTTAGCTTTGCTATTGATGGACAATCTAAGAAATTCCTTCATTCTGTAATTGGACTTCTTATCCACCATTAGCAAAATAATAATGATGATTAGAAAAGCTTGCTAAAACTAATAAAAATTCATAAAATGACTTAAAGAGGAACAACAGATTATTCAGAATATATATATATATATATTAAATATCACATTTTTTTGTCTCAATTACATTTATTCCTTCAAAACAATTGATTTTCTAAAAATTTTAAGGAAAAATCTAAAAGCTCGACAAAAATGTAGTCATTAGTACAGGTTTAGCTCTTGCACACACACCATATACACTTTCAAGGCAAAGAAGGAGAAGATTTATCAGTAATCAGGATGGTGTATTGACATTTAGATGGGTAATTAACTGTTATATTTTTTTTAAAGAGAGAGAGAAGAAGAAGAAGAAGAATAAAAGAAAGAAAAAGAAAAAAAGAAAGGAACTAGCTGCAGATATCGTGGGTCAAAGTCAGTCCCTTACTAAAAGCTCTACTTGGTGAGCAAGAATATGATAAGGCCAACTGGGGAACTGTATTTTGCAAGTTGTCTTTGCAACTCTGTTACGCAAAGTCAAAGACTTCCTTAAACAAATCACAAATTCCATCAATTCCTTCTAAGTGAGATTTCAGACATAAAACTGAATTCACTAAACGTTCAAAGCCACGAGATCTTCCAATCTGGTGCCGGACATTGGCTCACAGGGAAAGCCAAAAACAAATAAATGATTTTCCGGAAGGAGTATCTTGATTTGGTGTTGGTGCCATGTGGGCTGTTCATCATGTTTGCCTACCATCTCTTCCTGCTGTACAGATGCCTCAAGCGTCCACACACTACAGTGATTGGCTTTGAGAACAATGACAAGAAGGCTTGGGTTGAAAAAGTTATGCAGGTAATTCCTTCGTTTGTAATTTCCTTGCACTGATGCCCAGCTAAGTCAATCTTTTACTACTTTGCTAATAGCGAGAAAAGATTTTTGCAGGTTGAAAACAAGGATGTTAAAACAGCATTAGATGTGCTCTCAGCCAATGTGTCTGCAGCTACATTCCTTGCATCAGTCTCCCTAACTCTTAGCTCTCTAATTGGAGCCTGGATTGCGAACAATTCAAACATATTCCAAAGTGAACTAATCTATGGAGACACAAGGCAAGCCACAATGTCAATCAAGTTCATTAGTCTTCTAATCTGTTTCTTGTTGGCTTTTGCATGCTTTGTCCAATCATCAAGGTGTTTCATCCATGCAAATTACCTCATTAGTACACCAGATACCGACATTCCTATAAAATATGTTGAATCAGCAGTCATAAGAGGAGGTGATTTTTGGTCATTGGGGCTCAGAGCGCTTTACTTCGCAACTACCCTGCTGCTCTGGTTCTTTGGTCCAATACCAATGTTTGCTACTTCTGTAAGCATGGTTTGTCTCCTGCATCACCTTGATACAAACAAAACGCCATTGCATCAGTATAGTTCTGCAGCAAAGAGACCGTTCAAAAGAGCTGAGCAAACAACGATCAGAACTCCAATGGCTGTTGAGGTTCTTGACAGATGAAGTCCAAGAGCTTAACCCACCCACCCACCCCCCTTCGGGGAAGGCCCCCGATTTGAGATTGTAGAGTTGTCCTTATAATGATGTCTAGATTGCTTATGTTATAGCTATTTTTCTTTACCAATGCTATGCTGTAATCAAACTTTTCAGAGAGTTCATGACTTTAGCCTTGCTATATAGCTCCAGGGGCAATACTTGGTTGGTGCATTGCTGATGTTTTGCCTAGGATGGACACTACCATGGAACATAGACGCGCAACAAAATGAAAACTAACGATATTTGCAAGAAAATAAAATGTAAAGAAGGCGAGACACAGAATGTAACAATAGACCATGATGTATTCAGCTGCTAAATTGAAGTCCCTGAAGCCTTTATTTCATGTTGAATGGGAAATAAATGTTGCAATATACCGAGGCATATAAATCATGTCTAAAGATCAAGTTTGTCCAGTTTTTACTTATCATCATTCGAACAGCACAAAGTAGAAGCAATTCAGAATCTACAATACACCCATAAAATCAGCAGGGAAAAATCAAACAAAAATTGCTTCCTCGATGGATGAGATGAGCATTTAGACTTATAATCTCCGTCGGAGACAAAATGAGAGGTTACGGGAACAATTAGCAGTACACTTCCAGTACCAATATGCTTGTTCATTTGTTGGAATATAAAAAAAAGCAATTTTCCTGTCTGAAAGGTCACGCTTTTGGTACTTATAAAGAAAGCGTGCAAGTGACAACCCGTGTAATGATCGAAAGGCGTAACTATGCAACGGCTAAAATCACGCGACGCAAACGAAGGCGTCAGAAAGAGGCCTTAGCAAAGCGAAATATGATGAAGTTAGGGCCCGGCATTTTAATTAGTCGACCTTTCAGCGTTGCGTGTAATGGGGCATTGACTGGCCTTTGGGCCCAATAATGACCCAACGAGTTCTGTGCTCGTAAACTAAGTGCTTGATATCCCCTACCTATGATTTAATATAATTATATAAATAGAATATAAAATAAATAATTTGATATCCTCCTGCGACAAAATAATATAATCTTTGTTGTCAATTTGTTGTGATTAAATGATGATTTTGTTATATTAATTTACTTTTCTTTTTATTTTTGACATGTGACATGTTATTTATATGCATATATAAATAAAAACAACGATAATGGAGTTGGATTTTAGGTAAAATCAAATGTAGATAAATGAAGTCACGAGATCAAAATAATTTTTAAACTTTGTTTCATGCTGAATATTTGGCTAAAAATTGTAAAAAAAAATTGATGAGCAAATTCATTATTAGTATTGTTCACATATAAAAATTAAAATTAGATTAAAAAAAAAACAAAAATGATAGCTGAACAGGAGCACCCCCAGAAGTAGCGAGGCAGGACAAGGGTTGGGGTAACATATTATCCCAATTCCCAAGCATATATCACCCATCGGGTTGGGTCTGGGGTAATGTTGGGGTTCTGGGTAGAAGAAGCTGTGGAAATATATACTTCCAACTGTGGCTTTATCAGTTTTCATTAGAGTGTAGGAAATTAAGAATACACAAGGACGTTTGATAGAACATAAAACCACTTGATACTTTCATGAATTTAATAGAAAATTCTGAATAATATCGAAAGAACAGACTTTGAGGATATTCTACATAAATTAGGGTTGGATCTAAAAATTATAACATTTTGAAAATTTTTAAGTTAATTTAAGTGCCATATATGAATAAAGAAATTTTATCCAGAGAGGCTCTATTTGGATTCAAGAGTTTTTTAAAAATTAGTTTTTCAAATATTATTAAAATTTTTAAAAAGTACTTTAAAAGGTACTCTAAAAAGTAGTCTAATTTTTTTTTAATGTTTAAAAAATATCCCAAAATATATTTTAAAAACTCTTCTACTCTTAAATATATTAAAATATTTTCTAAAAATATCCCAAAATATACTATAAAAACTCTGTTACAGTAAAATTTTTCAAAAATACCTCCAAAAAATAGCTACTCTAAACGGATTTTTTTTTGCAATATTACAAAGTCATTGTACTCGAAATTCTTGTAAAGAATACAATATAGGTGTTGGTAGGCTTGTTTGTACCTCTTTTAAGCGATGCCCATATCTTATCTATGCAAAACAAAATAGCCATTATTCACTCCTAAGGCTCTAAAAAGAGTCAAAAAATGTTAAAATAAAGTAACACAAAACTATTCAAACAGGAAAGAAAAATATATTTAGTTAAAAAATGGAAAAAAAAATCGTGTAAAATGTCTCATATATATTGCCAAGTAAATTTTTTTGTCATTCATTTTAAAGTGATAATTTTACATTTTTTATAAAATTAGATCAATAAAATTTGATCCCAACCAAGATTTTTGACAATTTTTTATCATGAATATGTCACATGACCCTCACATGGTTATTTTCTTAAGGATAAAAAAGTAAGACCCCATCTGTAGTTAAATAAGTGACTCCATCCATATTTATTTTTACCTCTAAAAAGTATGATTTGACCAAAATTATATATTTTTTTCTCCTAAGAAAATGAGATCTAATTCAATCTATATTTATTTTTACTACTAAAAAATGTGGGATTCTATTTTTTTGTACATAAAAAAGGACTACACATAGGTTACATGGTGATTTCAGATTAAAAGATGATCGAAAATCTAGGTTGCGATGAAATTTTGAATTTGTTTTGGAAAAGGTATTATTTGAAATATTATTTAGAATAATTACTATAGCACTTTTTGTGATGTGATGTATGTGAGATAAAAGGGTAATTGAGAATATAAAAAAGTGGGTTGGGAAATGTGTTTATGATGTAAGTGAAATATTATTTGGGATAATGGAACTATCCAAACAAATCAATTATTAATTTGAATTTATAAGGGACAATAAAGTTAATATTTTAAAAGTAAGGGATAATTTCACAAACCTCCCCTGCGGTTTCTGACACTTGCAATGAGACCTCTCCAGGTTTTAAAAATTTCACCTAGCTCCCCTAGCAAAGTATTGGGGTCCATTGGTGACATGCAGAGCGCTGAAATGACCAATTTGTCCTCAGAGTTTGGTTTAGATGACTGACGTTAACTAAATTGACAAATGCATCTTCACATTAGTAATTACATTTAACTAGAATAACAGAAATTTAATGTCTAATGAAGGTGATTAAAAACCATTACTCCTAGGCACCAATAGAAGAAACAATTGGGCACCAATTTGGATCATAAAGGAAGAGTCCCCTGTCGCGCTACAACAGGCGTCTGGAAGGCCTCCCTTTTTATCATTGGTACGACGTTTAGCCAACTAATTACGTCCATTATTTCTGACTACCCATTCCAAACAGGTCGTTTCTGAGTTTATTTTAGTAACTAGAGATGATTGGAAAAAGATTACTGTTGCATTACAGTAACGATTTTCTTTGCATATCATTGATGCAAGCGTACATAGTTTCTTTGGGAAGCAGAAATATTAATTAAGAGAAGCATGCTTTAGGACTGCACATACTCTCTGCGTTTTCATCTTCTGTCCCCTTAAAGTCCGCCGGCAGTTCAGTGAGCTTTTCAATGCCATAGAGGAAAATTTTAGTGAGCCTCTCCATCCTGAGCTCTTGGCATGAAGGCTGGCAATACATGTCTGCACTTTCAATTATGATAGAATACTTAATGTCGCTGAGAAACTAGGCTCTCATTTAGTGCTTACGAAAAAATGGGAGAGAATTTTTTTTTTTCTAAAAAATATAAGAACTGAAAACCTGATTTATAGCAGCCAAGTAACTAGATTTCAATATCGTGAGCATGATACTTATATTCTCACAAGGGACTATAATCTTTTGACATGCAACTGTTGAATTCAGCGAGAGGTTGAGCTATTTTGGAATAGCAACAAGCTTAATCATTTATCTGACTAAAGTGACCAATGAAGATCTCAAAACAGCAGCAAAGAGCGTCAATTATTGGTATGGGGTAACCACCATGATGCCACTTCTTGAAGGATTCTTAGCTGATGCATACCTGGGCCGTTTCTCCACAGTCCTCATCTCATGCATCATCTATATCATGGTAAACTGCTAGCTTTAAAGTACAAAAAAAAAAAAAAAAAAAAAAAAAAAAAAAAAAACAAAAAAAACGCCTGTCTTGATGATAGGAATAACAAAGATATGAAAGGCATAAAATAGCACTATTATTTACTCAAAAGATAATAGAGAACTATTAGAATGCCTGTTCTAGCGTTACTGTTTGATCTGATCTCCTAGAAGCAAATTTAGTTATTTAATTCCATTTTCTCAATGCCAGGGTCTGCTTCTCTTAACGATGTCTAGTACGATCCCTGCTTTGAAACCCAGTGACAATATTGGCATTTGCCTCAGCCCCAGGAAGGTCCATGAAGTGATATTCTTCCTTGGCATCTATTTGATCTCCATCGCAACAGGAGGACACAAGCCATCATTGGAGAGTTTTGGAGCTGACCAGTTTGATGGTAATCATCCAGCTGAAAGAAGGCATAAAATGTCATTTTTCAATTGGTGGAACTTTGGTCTCTGCTGTGGACTGTTACTAGCAGTTACTCTTATTGTTTACGTGCAAGAACACGTCAGCTGGGGTATGGCAGATATCATTCTTACAGTGGTTATGGCTTCCACAATTGTGATCTTCTGTGTTGGAAAACCTTTTTATCGCTACCGGCAGCCAAGTGGAAGTCCATTTACACCAATGCTTCAAGTTATCGTTGCAACAATTTCCAAGAGGAAACTACCATATCCTTCAAATGCTGGTGATTTATACGAGGTTTCCACGGCAATATCAGATTGCCTTTCTGAAATGCCAAGTACTCTAGCTCTGCTAATATCCCTTTTCCTGTTTGTGTCTTGGTTGCTTCTTCTGCTATTAACTTCTTCTTCTTCTCCTCCGTCATACCATTTGAAATATCTGCATTTTGAGCAGCAAAAATACAATTTGTGCGGATTCTTTTCGCTAGAGCGATGTCTTCACTGTGGCCTTGCGATTGCAATAGCAATATCTGTTTTTAATAGTGAAAGTTGTTGGTGAGTTCCAGGATTTTGCTGGTTCGCTCGAAGAGGCCATTAAATCTGCTTAAATGTTTTCATTATAGCCTTCTGTTAATGCTCCTCACAATCTTTTAGCTTGAGGATAAAATGTGCTTTCCAGATGTTTTTATGCAGTTAAAGGTTTCAAAATTTTTTGCCATTGGAAGATTGCAAGTTGCCGTTGGCTATTCCTGTCAGCTACTGAAGATGTCTCCATGTAACAGAAAAATATTCCTGAATTACAGTTATACCCTTTCAACTTTGATAATTATCTCTACTTTTTTAAATAACAAGCAATCTTGTATTAATATAGGAAGGAAGAGGGTATTCATATAATATAAATGTCATCTCTATCATGATAGTAATACTTTAATCCTAATTGGACTGAATTGTTACCAAAATTTGAAAAAACAAGGGAGCTAGGTGAAGTTTTTAAAGCCTGGAGGGGTCTAAGTGCAAGTGTCAGAAACCTCAGAGGAGGTTTGTGAAATTATCCCTAAAAGTAAAGGGATACAAAATTTTATTCGGCAAAATACAAGGCACATTTAAAACGATTTTTCTAGGGGAAAGAAATTGTCCTTTCAAACCTAAACCAACGTAAATGCAGTCAAGTACAGATTCCTCACCGCGATCTCATTGGCTCAGCGTTGAGAAAGTACATAAGTAGCAGTCTAGCAGACCTATTCAGCTAGCAGCAAAGCCCAGAACCAGCCATCCATCCTCTCTCCACCAAATGAACATAATCCCCTCATCCCCCCACACACACACACACACACACAATATAAAATTTTAGTAGCAATGAATGGGTCAGATTGATTTCTGCTGGCAGGTTCAGAGTAGAGTAGCCCAGAGTAGGGTACAGGCTGACTCGGTAAAAAGACTACTTTGAGATCTGTGGTTCGTATTTCTCTTTAAGACTTAGAGATCAATTGCTGCATCCCATTAGGTAACACAATGGTTAAAGCTGTGGGCTTGGGGAAAAAATTGTAGAAAATCAGCACATTTCTCAACGTTGCCTGTTTGAGCACTTTCTCATGGTAGATTCAGTACCAATTCTCATGCACTCGTACTTCGTAAAAGGTTATAAGAAGATAAGAATTAGGCATCCACTCTCAAAAAATTGAAAAAAAAAAAGAAGAAGAAGGAGAGACTATACGTAAAATAAAGAAGAAACATATATCCTCAACTAAAGCATACCTTCACTCTGAAATCTATTTTATTATATCCTCAACAAAAACAAAAAGACTTTCTTCTTATTTTATCTTCATTCTTTTCTCAATCCCAAGTCTTATTTTTTATTTTTTTGGTCAAATGGCATCGTATTATATCATTAACTCAATAATACAAGTGTTAGTTACAAAAAGAAACAACTGTTTAATAATTCTTTTGACCCATGTTGGGAAGCTAATATTCCACTTTACATCATTAAATGGTTTAGTTGCAAGTTTTGCTAGCTTATGGCGAACTTCATTTTCTAATCTATGAACAAAAGGAAAGGAGCGTTGATCAAACAGCTCTCTTAATTCCTGTATATCCTCCAGTATTGTCTCAGTCTTTGCTGTTGTCATTAATCCCAAGCCGATCAAGCACCTTATCTTCCAATGTTCAGCATTTTTTAATGGGTAAAATAAGCTACCAACACCAGCAGAAATTCACGTCGTTGTTCATTCTTATGAGTACGCATGTCAAAGTAATTGCAGCATGCAATTTTCCATCCTTTAATAGGAACAGATCATTTCGGGGACAACGAAAAGGAAAAACAAATATAAACTGTTTTGGTGAACAAATGTGTGAGTGTCCGTGAATGCAAGGAAGCTTTCAGGTATAATTCAAAGCGACATCTCAATGGATTGTACGCCCACATGCAATTTATTGGGATGATGGTACTATTACCAATTCTTCGTATAGTCTAAATTGTGGTCCTAAAAGCAAAAAAAAAAAAAAAAAAAAGCAATAATATATTAGAATTCTACGGATATCATGTAAATATGTAACCACTTATTTTTTTCACAAAATAATATCCAATCTATGAAAATAAAATTATTAATGCTATCATCTGTAAAATATAAAAAGTTTCGATTTAAGTTAACATTCGTTATCATTTATTCATATCCGTCATATTACTGTTAATGGTACAAGAAAATTTTGTTTAAATTATTATTAATATATAAGTGATATGAAGATGAAATATAAGGAATAAAAATTTCGAATTCAAAATTTTTTTATTTCGGATTGAATTGTGTAACTGTTTGGAAGGCAAAATATTATTAATTACTGAAAGACCCAACAGTTATGGAAACATAAAAGCAAAGGCCATGAGGTAAATGGGCATATTGAGAGATGAGTCTGTGGTCCTGCGAGGCAGCAGTGATTATGAAAGCAGAGCAAAGCTGATGAAAAAAAGTTTTGGCTCTTTCAACTTTTTGCAGAGACCCTCGACTTTTTCGCGGGCCTTTGCAGACTCCTTCAGGATTCTGACCTCTGTTTTGCCTGTGGCTCCCCCCCTCACCTCCACGGGGTCTCTCCCTCACAGCCTTTCATCGTACTTTAGTCACGTCAAGTCCACGCTCCCCCATATGTCCTTGTTTTTTTCCCCTTTTTCTTTCTTTCTTTTTTTTTTTTTTTTTTCTTTTCCCCCTCTTCTTTTACCCCAAACAAATGGACAAAGTACAGGATTGAGGGAGTCATCCTTTTGCCAGTTTGCCTTGCCTTCAAATCAGCCACTAGCCCACAGCCCACATGTGATGTGTTTTTCAATCTCTAATGTGCCCTCACAGCTCATCATCCAGGATGTTTGGCATGACTAAAGCCATTTTTCTTCTTTCTTTTTTCTTTCCCCCTTTTTTATTTTTTGAAGGTACGTTATCGAGTTCTTAGAGAAAGAAAGACAAAAAAGAGTTCTTTGAGAAGGCGAATAGCTAATAAGACGCAAACCAATCATAGAATGATTTATGTTTTTATGCAGTTACAAATGGACTTTGGTTTGATAAATTTCTTTTAGCTAACAAATGTGCGTCAAATAAAAATAGAGTTAATTTCATAGGCACTGACGGTAGTATTATATGCACTACCGTGTTTGATGCATGATACATATGTAAAATTTAAATTGATTGTCAGACATTCAACAATAATTTTATATATATACAGGAAATATATAGAATATTAATTCATAAAAATAATGAAAAGTAACATAAGATTTTTTTATTTACTTTTGATACTAAAAGTCTCTTAAAGCACGTTTGGATGCACAAATTATTTTAATATTATTTTGATTATATCGTAAACACATTTTTTATTATTTTTTTTCATATTTTTAATCACTCTCTATTTTATCATACATGTATCATATCATCTAAAAAAAAAAGTGTTACCATAATTCTACATTTTAATCTAACCCTTTAGCTTGAATCAACCTAATTACAACCATTTAATATGTACTAAAACAACAACTACCATAATTTGAAACAAAAAAAAAAAAAAAAGTTACAAAGTTACTGCAACTACATAGAGGGTAAAACGAGAAGGGGAGGCATGATAGAAGGGGTAAATTGCAAAAGGGTCGAAAATTTTGGAGGTCTTATCCACCACGATAGATGTAGACTATAGGTGAAGAAGTGAGTGCAGTGTGAAGAAGAGATAGTTGGCAGGTGCGTGAATGGGATGGGATTTGATTGTGGGGTCCTGTACGACTTGCCAAAAGGAACTAGACCGGTCTTTGTCTCATCAGAGCGTGTCGGCTACCCGCATCGCTCCATTCCCTGGAAGGAGCGAGCGAGTGGCCGACTGGGTGCTTCTGTGTCGGGCCTCATCCAATTCGTAATCACTGCTTATCACATTGAAATCTCCTTAAAGATTTAATTGATCAGAGTAAATTTACTAGTATTAAATAGATAAATTAATTAAACTATCACTTGAATGGAGCAACACAAGTCAATTTGACAACAAAGCATGGCTTGGTTAGTAAGATCACGAGTTTAAGTCATCACGAAAGTAAGTGGGAAATTAGTATTAATTATTTTTTAAAAAAGTCAATTAATAAAAACCCACTATTAATCCACTTAATTAAAAAAAAAACCTATTTGAAAACTAGATTCAATCTCCTTTCCTCTTTCGACAAATAAGAAGGTCATGAATATCTAAGAAGGCCATAATTATCCATGTCTTTTAATGGGAAATTATTGTGTAAGTATTTCAGGACGAAACCATAATGACAGTCCAAATTGTATTAGATCACAATTATGATTGTGGAGAATCCAAAGTTTTTAGGAAGAGATTTCGGTGGTGTTTGGAATGTAATTTTTTAAGAAAAAGCTTTTACGTTTTTCGTAAACATATTTTTCAATAATTTTTTTTCTTCATATATATATATATATATATATATCAAATTATTATTATATATATATATTTTTTAAAAAAAATAGCAATATCGAAACTCTTTACTATTTTATGGCCTTTCAGCAAGGCTGTGTTAAAACTTTTCGGAATTATAGCCAATCTTTTTGGTTGTTAACTCCTGCTTTTGGAGTAAAAAGGCAACGCCTACAAAGGGGTGCTTTAGTTAGTACTCGAAAAAAAGCAGGGAAACAACATAATTGATGTCTAATATGCTTGGTAATTTTGGATAATGATGGTCTTTTAACTTTCATTACGTAGCTTTATTGAAAAGTTAATGTGCCTTTAATGTTAATAATATGAAAAGTAGCTATTGGTAACTTAACTTCAAAGACAAAATATATGTTAACTCTCATCGTAATAGATGAAATTCTCTACCAGCAAAAGAAATAAGAGGCGAACTTCACCAATTTGACATTGACCATTATTAGAGATATTTTTACTGTAACACTTTTTTGTGATGTGATGTACGTGAGATAAAAGGTTAATTGGGAAGATAAAAAGGTGCATTAAAAATTGTAATAATGATGTAAGCAAATATATTTTGACAAATAAACAGCAATCCAAACAAACCCAATTGTTTCATCTCAACAGCTAAATAGTGGAGTA